AAGCCATGTAGCAATATTTTCTGTTTTAACAATAGCAAATGTACCACAATTTTCCGAAGTCTTTTGAGACACAAGCTTAGAATTTTTCGCTGTGTAGGCAGCCACACTCACTCAGGGTCAGTCAGGGCACCTCCCCAGACAAGGTTAATTGACCCCCTCATGATGGTATTCAGATGAGCGATAGAAAAACAATTCAGCAAACACTACTGATCGGATTTCTTTTGTTACGGAGCTCCTGGCAAGCTGCTGCCTTGAGCAACGGCCCATGTCACCCATTATGTTCCACAGACCTATTAATGTTTTAAAAAAACAGTAATATGGGCTTTATGAGCTGAAATATTCAGTACCTGAATTATTCAGTGACCGAGAGTTTTCATCAGTTTTGATAAGATGATAATAGCTTAGATCCAAAGAAGAATTAAAAGCGCCTTTTTCAACTGTTTTAAATTAGTGTGAAAAAATGTCAAAAGTTCAAAAGATGGGAGCTTAAAAAAAAGTTTTAGAAGCTCAATGCAAAATGGAAGCATTGTAGATCTCGATACGTTGGAGTTTGATTTGTGTTTTTATTTGTGTTCAAATAATTGTTAGATGTTTTCGAAATATGCAGATATTTATTTAGGAGTTTAATTTAATCAATATTACATTTTCTTTGTAAATAGTGTGTTTTAGTGTGGGATGATGAGGATCTGGCTTTGTTCAGCCATGAATGAACAGCGGACATCAGCATCCACTCACATGTGTGAGCTCTGTGGCCGGCTGGAGGTTTTATCGGGAAGAGATTTATTGGCTGGTTGGTCGAGGGAGGGAATCTATTGGGAGAGCGGGAGGAGTAATCTATCTGAAAGACAGGGATTATAGCAGGTGTGCACAGTAATGCTAATGTAAGACAGGAGAGAAGGCAGAGATGTTTTTGAATCTTTTGTAATTCTGTGTATATGAGTCCGTCTTTGACATTTGACCGTAAGCGGCTGACAATGAGGCAGCTGGGACACCACCTCTACCATGATAATGACCCTTTACAGAATGAGGATTCCTGGGATGTTAGGTGGACGCATCCTGACAAGAGCTGCATGTATGTGTGAGAGGAAGTGGGAGTGATGGATTGTGGGTAAATGGAAGGACCTGAAGGGAAGGAGCAATGACTTGCAGTGAAAGAGAGGAACGGCTATAGGAGTAAAATCGGTGCAAGAGTGGGGAGGAAAGGCCATCAATCATTCTGGCATGTATCGAGTGAGTCTAGGTGTTGGGGTCCTGTCCCTGAGGGCCATCAGAGGGACATGTTGCATGTTAATTAAGGCTACAGGGGCTTTGACATAAGCACGCAAGCGGCAGTTTGAGGCAGGTTGCCACAAGCTGAATGCGCTAATACAAATGAACTTTATTGATATACATTAAGAATGTGATGAACCTAAGAAATATAGATATTGAAGACTTTTAAGTGTCCTTCCTTCTCGTCTTCTCATCTGCTCTTCTCTATATGCCACAGCTGTCCACAGAAGGTCAGCAGCTGGGTGAAATAAGAAATGGACCGGAGAGAATAGGCAAGAGTCCACTGCTGCCCACTAATGAATATGAATGTAATGTGCAACCAGTGTGTATTTGTGCAAGTGTGTTATTATGTGTTTGCACACATTACTGAGGACAGGCAGAACTTAAACAGCAAGAAAAGCACACATGCAGCAGGTCTACAGCATACAAAAATATCTGTCATTTGGATCCCAAAAGCTGTCACGTTCCAAGGGCAAAACAGCAAGAGATTTTAAATCTCAAGAGTTATTTTGCAGTGATATAAAAGTTGAAAACAATATTTCAGACAAACACTTCCTTGTGTACATTGATTTACTTAGGCTTTTTGCTCTTAACCCAGTGTTTTCCCCTCCTCCTACCAAGGGGGAACTCCATACAAAGGAAGATTTATCAGAGACACATAAATGCATGGATTCACAAATACCCTCTCCCTCAAACCAATCCAGGTGGTAACATAAGATGTCCTAATCAAAAATGTCCACATACTCTCACAGCAGAATGCACACACGCTCACATAATCCAATGCAAAATGAAACAGCTCCAAACAGCCATGACACACACTCTGAAACATCCCTGCAGCACATCGAGCCCGTTTAATCCTGTCTCTCTCAGTCTCCCCCTTGCTTGCTTGATCTCTTTCTGCTTGGTTTCTCTTTCCTATCCGACTCTGAACATTCTTGCACCCGTCTCTGCGACTCTGTCTGAAATCCTGCTGCCGACGTGCCGCGTCCGCTCACCTGATGGCTAACCGGAGAGAGAGAGCCACAGGGAAGCTGTGCACAGCTTGAAGTCCAACACACAAAGTAGAAGTCAAAAAGTAGATGAGTCAGAAAAGCAGAACAAGTGGAAAAGAATGAATCAAAGAGGATAGGGGTGTTGTGTGAGAACAGAGCTGAAAGACATCAGTAGAGTATGAGAAGGGGTATGTTGGGCAGTAATGGATCATTGTAAGAGGTGGGATGGATGAATAGAGAACATAAGAATACTCACAAAAGAAGGCATCCTCGCCCTGATACCGACAACTACTTCTTTGCCTTGTTAGCTCCACCAACACGGTGACATTGCTTCAGCCTCCTCGCTGTTGTTCCCCCGGGTAAATCTTTTCCTTCTCTGCCTCTTCTCTTTTTCTTCCTCTTCCTTTTTTTAATCCTCCAAGGCTTCTTTTCCCCTTCTCCTCTCCCTCTTTCCTTCCCCTCCCCCTGCTTTTCCTCCACCCCTTCTCTCTGCAACACCTTTTTCCTCCCCTCGCCTCCTCTACTGTCCGCTTGCCTTGCCGTGCTCGCCTGGTCCGAAGAGTCTCCTGCAAGGTCCAGCTGCGTCTGAACGGGGAAGCATGCCTCCTCTCCGCACTGCACGCTCTCCTTCCTGCGCTCTCTCCGCTAGTCCTGAGTCTCCTCTCTACTTTGTCCAATCTCTCCCTCTGAAACTGGGAAAAAGGGGGAAGGCTTCCACCCCGGTAAAGTGCAGCGGCGGACAAACAAAGAGAGACAGAAAGAAGAAGCTAAGCTTTTACAGCCAATGGCACAAGAGAGAGGCAGAAAGAGTGCTGGAGACAAAGAGTGGAAATAGCATAGAAAGATGGGATGGGGAAGTGTGTGGGGTGGGGGCACATGCACGCCCACTCATTCAGTATCACGGACGCAGAGTGCTCTGGATATAGACCTATGACTTCATCACTTTCACCTAACATGCAGACACACACGTGAAAACATGTGAAGATGCAACTGGGCGTGAGTGCAGTCAGACTTGCTGAGTGCTCCAGATATAGCCTCATGACTTCATCGAAGAGCAAACCCCTCCTCCCCCATCGCCCCGCCCTGTTCAGGGGACAGGGGACTCATTCATATTGAAACACGCTGAAGGAAGGATGGAGGGAGCACCCTCAGAGCCAAACTGGGAACACTCCTTAGGTATATATATAAAGGAGGAGACAGGAGTAGGAATAAGAGATGGTGTGGAGAACAAAAGGAGGGGGCATAAGTTATGCAAGGTTTCAGGAATATAATGAGTTTTTTTTACGGTGCCATTTTTTTCCTCAGCTTTCTGGTTACAACTCCTGTGATTTGGGTCTCTTACAATTCACATGATTTTCAAGCTGCTACTACATTAATATGAAAAAGAATGAGGACACTTTAGAATTGTGGTTGGCTGCGGGATCTGCTCCCACTCAGGGCTGGCTTACAGTCAGTGCTCCGAGCCAAGTTTTTCCTCAGAAGAGTCAAATTCTATGAAGCTATAGGTGAAATAAATCTTTTCCAGTAAATGTAACATTTTAGACTGTTTATCAACCTCTCTAAATTCCAGGCTGTTTGATTATTCCTTTATGTCTTAAATTAAAACATCATTACAGCCAAAGAAAACAAAATAAGAAACAGGAAAAAAAAACACAAGAAGAATTTCATCTATAAACTATGCATGCAGGAGCCTGGTTTCCCAACAGCCAATATTTAACAAACTGCACTCAGAAAATATCCACCACCAAGGTCAATGCCTTCAGTTGTCATTTTAATGAAAGTGTGTATCAAGAGCAAATCTAAAGGAATTCTTTATTTTTTTATCCTCAACCTTCTTTTATTGAATTCAAATGGCTTTGTAACTTTTGCATTAACTGAAAAAATCATTCACATGAACAGACTAAATATATATGCTGCATTAAAGACAAAAAGAAGCACTCTCAAGTTTAACTGACCACAAACTGGAACTGAAGGAAGATTCCCAGTCTCCTGGGTGTAGCTGTGAACTGTTACAGTATGATTTATACTTAGTGCAACAATTCTTCCTCAAACCACAAAATGCTAGGGGTTTAAGGTGAAAAGATTTGGATATAGTGCACTCTAGTGGCACAACCAAGTAATTCCAACACCTGAAAAATTCAATTGGAGGAGCAAACGCTCATTCCATCTTGTCACTGGGACACTAACATCTAAGGATAGTGGTTGACACCTTACATATTAAATTCTAATTCAATATCTTTTGGTTTGACTGCCACCTGGAGGGCTGCTCCATCAGAATTACTGCATAATGACAATAAAATATTTAACCTATCTCATCTTACCTGCCCTCTGATGTAAGTGAGCATAAAAGATAGGCTGAGCAATAAAAATGTCACACATGAAATTAAACTCCAGAATCATGAAAATGTTCAAGGAAAAATGATTTTCTATTGTGATGTCACTATGGAAATGCGTCTACATGGATAGGAGAGAAGGCCATAAAGAATTTATGCTGTATGCTCCCTGTTTTCTGAATCACTCTCATTGATGAAGAGGAACAATGTTAACAAGGCAACTAAAAAATTAATGTGTTCTACATGAAACCCTTCAGTAACCATGAAAAGGAATTTAATCTTTTTGTATCTTACTCGTACATTTAATTGTTTTTAGTTTTGAGGTTTGAAACATCTGATTTGATGCTTGAGCAGGACTACGACGAACTTATAGTTCATCACCAAATGTTGTTGTTTATATTAGTTTTCAACCAATAAGACTAAAAATAGAAAAAAAAAGTTGAAAGACCTTCTGGGGCATGAAGACAAAAAAATATGGATGGCTTATTAAATGTTATAAAAAGAGCCAGAGGCAGTGAGTGAGGAGAGGATAAGGAAAGCTATCCTGAATTGACCCTCCTCTCTTTTTGTGCTACAAGCTTTATCCATTACCGCAGAGAGAGACTGCCACTGAAAGTTTCTCCCTCCTGAGACCGAAGAGGGTGGAGGGACTTTGTGTTTTTCCTCCTCGCTCTTTATCTGCCTCCCACACACATGCAGCTAATGTTGTGGTAGTGTTGCTGCCAGGGAGAAGTAGAAAAAGGAGGAGAGGAGGAGGAAAAAGATGGGGAAAGGACTGTGGGAGGGGGAGAGGGATGAGAGAGAGAGAAAGAGAGAGAGAGAACTATGGGAGCACTTAAAGGATTGGGAGATGACAGGGAGAGAAAAGGAGGAAAATAAACAACACGGTAAGAAGCATCAACCGGTGAACAGAGAGCAAACCTTTTAACTCCATTTCACTTGATACGCTAAAAACCGGTTACACAGGTCAGGCTCAGATTTCAGATATCATTTGCATCCTCAAGTGACACAACTCTAAAGTAAATCATCCAGAGGCATTCAAAAAGTTCTCTGGCATTAGGCTAAGAGGACAGATTTCTACAAAACTGGCACAATGGTTCTGCATGGATGCAGAGTTGGATGTATGAAAAACAAATGTGCAGACATGACTCATCCATTATAGGATGTAAGTGTTAATGCATCTGATGTGTGAAGGGGTCTGGGTTCAAACCGGCTGCTCTGTGGGTTGGTCCTATCACTGAGGGCTTAGCTAACCCCACCCCTATTAGCAGCTATGCTAGCCTCAGCAGACTGTCAGCTCAATAGTGAAAGGTTAAGATTGTGGAACCTTAGCAAATGACTGAAGGGCCCATTCGTTGTCAGTGGGGAACTGTGAGGCATTCAGCAGTAAGAATAATTATGGTGTTTTTCAATGCAGTCTGGAATGATAATGAGGCAAATCCCGTTCTCGGCCGATTCGCTTAAACCCCTGATTCAGCTTCTAATGGAGAAATGTTACACCTGCATTTTACAGTGTGTTGCCTGGGCTGTGCGTTTTCAGATGAATGGAATTTGTGCATGTCTGATCTCTGTCTTTTGTCTGTTGCTGTTTATGTTCAATCAACATTCTAAATAAAAAGAATTTAGTCATAAGAAATGCTTACAGTACAACAATCCAATTTGTACACGAAGGCATGCACCATCACCACCAGATTCCAAACAACAGGAATTCATGCTGGGATCTTACAAATGAAGATGAAGGCTGTTTCTCAACACTTGTAAAAACAAACTCTGTCTACATCAGTGGAGCCCCAAAGGAGTTCAAGCCACAAAGTGAAGCAGGAAGAGAATTCTAAAATATACATTTTAGGATTAAATTGGTATTACATTAAAATCCTGTCATGATACTATTAACTCTGTTAGGAATTGTTTCACATTGATCACAGATTTACAGGAACAATCTTTTTAATTTTACTGCAGATTCTTTTCATTTTTGTAGCACTAATTTACAGTCATTGTAAATCTGAGGTGGAGAACATTTTAAGAGCCTCTCATAGTCATTGCACATCTCCTAATAATTGGTTAAGGAAACTTAAAGGTAGCTTTGCTTCTTGAGAAAACACAAAGAATACTAAAACACAATGGCCATCCCACCCAGACCATGCTCACCCTGCTGCAGTCTGACAACAAACACAAAAATATCCTCTGCCCCCCTCTGGCTGCTACCTAGGCATTCGGTTCCATTTCTGATAATTTCAAAGTCGTGAGTGAATCTCGAGGAAGGCTTCATTGACGAAAAAAGGTTAACTGTAAAGTTCTCTTACCTGTCATGGTCTCGCCCTACACCCCAGACACGGATGCTGCTGATTGGCTGAGAGTGAAGCAAGCTGCGGTCATCCGGATCAACCAGGGTCAACATGCGATCCTGAAGCTCCAAAAGCATCCCTTTACCCTGCAGGACAGGGGATGGGAAAATACAGACTTAAAATATCTTTCGCAGGCAGTCAGGGGTTGTGTATTGATTAAGTAATAGATTTGCAACGAAGGTTAAAGAATATATTTCTAATAAAAGGGTGGCAGGGCAGCAGTCATCTCACAGGAAGCCGGTTCTGGTTTGCCATCATTTTATTACTTCAGAATGTAAAAGATAAAAATGTTGGATAACTTTTTCCCTGTCTTATGTAGCCACCCCCCCCTGCAATCATGGTGGATCTAAAGCACCTGAGGGAGGCCAAAACCAACCAAAAAAGGGTTTCTCTGCCTTCCTCGCCAAAGAGGGAGAAACATTTTTAGCTCCTTTGTACTGAAGGTGAAAAACACACCATAAGACAAAAAGATAACACCAAACAATGAAAAAAAAGCATGAGAGAAACAATGAAAAAGCAGTATCTTCTAAAATAAAAGAGGGTGTGCTTGTGTGATGTTGTGTTTTCTTTTACAGTAATTCAGACCTAAAAAATACTAAGAAGCATCATTAAAAAGTTTGAATCTCGTTTGATCAAAATCCCATCTAGAGGGTGAGCAGTCACAAACCTTCTCACATTTTACTATTAGTGCACCTAAAGTCAAAAGTGTGATGCTCTTTTGGAGACATAAAGAATATGGGGAGCTATACGTCTGTTGATACTGCCCACTACTGACCTCTCCCCAGACACCAGCTGAGTCCCGGATGTCCCTCCTGCAATAGGACAGCTGTCTGATACATTGGTGGACGGCCACGCTGCTCCTTCCCTCGCACAAGTCCTGCTCCGACATCTCCACCCAGCCCAGAGAGCGCACTGGAAATGACTGGGACAGGATTTGGTTTCACGCTTAGGTTTGGAATTAGAGAAAGAGTAGGCTCACAGTGAATTGCAGGATTGGATATTCAGGGTTAGCAAAAACAGGTATATGGGCTTTTTCCACTAGGGGCAGCTAAAACTAGATTCCTCATTACTCAGTTCATTGTGTGACCACTAAGTGGCACTGCAGCAAAAAAAGAAGTGGCATTTAGCAGGTGCATTACATCATCAGAAATCAAAATATAGATAGATAGATAGATAGATAGATAGATAGATAGATAGATAGATAGATAGATAGATAGATAGATAGATAGATAGATAGATAGATAGATGGATAGATGGATAGATGGATAGATAGATGGATAGATAGATAGATAGATAGATAGATAGATAGATAGATAGATAGATGTAAGCGGTTACCATTAACTCTGGATCAGAGAATGTGCTGTTGAGGTCCACTGTCTCCAGCTGGGTGGGAGGGCTGCAGGTAAATATATGTTTAGTTTAATTTGACATTGAAGAAATGGGTTCAGCAATGCAACCAAAATGTGGTGGAACATTTGGATAAACTAAACATTAAATATTCATCTTAAGTCTGTGAGTGCATCTCACTTGAGCTTAAGAGAGGCGTATCGGAGGGTAGCTCCTTCAAATGCTTTGAGACTGGGGTCTGGGTAGACCGGGTAGTCCTTCAGCTCCTGGACGAAAAGAGGATGCCAGTTAGAAATGAGGGATGTAACGAGTTGTAGTTTAAAAGCTAATGTTCTGACATCGGCCTTCAAAACAATGTCAATCTTACTGTGTTTGCAATAACCGGAAAAGGATACCTTTTATTTGTATTCAAACTGTGGGCTTTTCATCTTTGCTAGATATGCACAGCATGACTAACAGGAGCACAGAGTACTGCCAGTTTCCATCTGAAAAACTGCTTCCCTGATAGCAGATTTGTATTGACAGCAGTTTCAGCAGCAATGATGGCAAAACACCTCTTTGAGTTAGTGTGATGAATCAAAAGTATCTAGGTAAACGGAATTGGATTCAGACCATTCAGCTGGACAATGAATGGTAGATCTTTAAAACTATCTTACACCTCCAGTGTCATTAGAATATAAAATGAATTTTGTTTATTTGTGACAAGAAGTGAATTCTGTAGAGCATAAACTATTTTTTTTATGTAACGAGAAAACAGCAATACAGCAGATTGTCCCTTTAATATCTACAGAATATCTTCAATTCCCAGCAAAATTAGTCAAACGCTGGAAATAACATTTGATCGCACTTGAATGTCAACAGAGTGAGTCACTCTAAAGGAAAGAGGGTGACAAAAAGGGACGTACGTCGGCTGTACAGGTGGCGGCGTTGAGACTTTGTTCAGAAGAGGTCATGACTTTGGAGGGCGTGGAGGAGGAGGATGGAGTGGAGTGGGAGGAGCCAGACGGGGAGGGGACGGGCTCCACTGAGCTGTCAGATATCAGACTGCTGGGGCGCTGTGACAGAGCAGGAAAAGCAGAGGGATGCTGCTTTCATACCGGAACCAAGACCGAGCAGATGCCATCGACAGCATCAGGCTGTGGAGGAGCCTCTCTGAGCCCAGCGACACCGAAAACTTGCTCATGTTTCTAATGTTCATAAATCATTATGTGGATTCAAGCTAACTTTTTGCATCGCTTAACCTAGAGACACTTTATAGCGCTAAACATCATTGTGTCACATTTCTTGTTTAAACTAATCATCTTGCTAATCAAAGCACACCACACATTTTGGGGACGGGCTCCTTAATATTACACAATTTTCTCTTGGGAAGAGGTGATAAAGTGTGATCACAACAGCCTTAAGAATATGTGAGAAACCTCTAGTGGAAACAGGAACATTTCAATGAGCAAGCTATCAGCTTTTGACTCATAAACACTGTGTATTTTCACCTCAAAGTGTGCTGGGTTTAGAGGTCTTCTCACCTCATTTGGTAGCTTTAGCGACTCCTGCGTGTCTTTGAGTGGGTCACGCTCAGCGTCTGCCTCATTGCTGGGAGGGCTGTGTTGGTTGCTGGAGGCAACAGGTCGGTCATACTGTGTAGTGCCGGTGGGGACGTGCCAGAAATAGACTTCTGATGAGTCTGAGATCTCTCGCCAGCCTGGGGGCAGGTCCCCTTCGGCCCATACATCTGCTGATGGTTGGCGGGGGTACATATTTATGCGTATATGTGCATGAGCATAGAATACAAACATACAAGCTGTACACAGATAGGCTGGAGCAATTCACATTTGATTGTAACATACAAACAAACAAAATGCTACGAGCACAAATAAGCAGTGACAGTGAAATTTTCAGTGATGGTCTGTCTGTTCCAACTTAGTTTCGGTTGTCATAGCAACTGTAGGGCTCATCCCCTATGGTAAGACCCAGTATGCATCAGTCTCATCTCCCTGCTTTCTCTTATGGCCTTCTTATATTTCTCTCTTAACACTCAGATGGTTTAACCTCCTCCATGCCAGTTAATCACCTCTCGTAAAAGCTCTGCCTCCTTTGCTTTCCTTTATGCTTTTTGTACATTCTCACATCCTGTGGTCTGCAGTGTCCTATCCCTCTCTCTCCATCGTAATCACTCTCTGCACCATAAGGTTGCACACGGGGGCCTTAAAGGTTCCAGCAGTATAGCTGACGTGATATACTTGCTTTATAAAAGCCCTAATGAAACTGAAAGATTTATAGATGAGGAATAAAAGAGATGAGTAATGGAGATACAGATTACGCTCTGATTCAAATTCAGGTAAAAACAGGGACACACATGTCTAACCTGTTTCCTGTGGAGTCTGTGGGGAGGGGGATTCTTGGGACAGGGTGGTCCAGCTGGAGTCTTCATCCTCTGATGGGGTGTCAGGGGTCAGATCCATTCTTAAGCCCACTTTAGGGAGCCCATTCTCTGGTTCAGGATCTGGAGGGGGATGGGATTCCCGGGTCCTGGTTGGGGTGTTTCTTTCGGTAGGTCTTGTTTGTTTCGGGGAAGATGGCGGGTACTGTTGCAGAAACTGGTTCTCGTTGTTGGGGTGCAGCTCTACTTTGATCACCCGGGGCTGAGCGCTTCGAGGGGGCTTTGCAGGGCTACGTGGGCAAACCTGAACCGGGGCACAGAGCTCCTCTCTGACCTTTGCGGGAACTTGGTTCTGGGCGTGGTTGTGGTTGTCTGGCATCCATTCTGGGCTGTTGTTAGAGGAGGAAGAGGTGGATGAAAGAGGGGCCTCAACCACCACAGGAAGAAGAGGTTGTCTTGGTGTCGGGGTTGGGTCATCCTCAGCTTCGTCTACCTCTGCCATAGGCTTCACGTCGTCCTTCTCCTCCTGGCTGTTCTGAAGGCTATTGTGCTTCTCCTCCTTCTGGCTCTCTGCCTCTTTGGCTGGACTGGCCTGTTCCTTCTCTGAGGAGGGCTGCTGCTTTTTATCCTCCTTCTTCTCTTTGTTTCCACAGCTGGAGTCCAGATCCCAGCCCTTGCCATGGTACTCTAAGAAGCTCTTGGTCCTCCTACGAAACGGAGGCAGCTGGGAGTTGTCTTTCCCGAGCTCAAGCCAGTCTGAACCTGGATTATTGATGAGCTCATAATGAATCTTATCCACTGTATTGGCTCTGCTCAGCTCCAGCTGCTGGCTCTCAGCTCGTCTCTGCATGTTAGCCCCATTCTTAGCCAGTTTGGGGTTGGTTGTGTTAAATAGTGAGGAAGAGGATGTAGAGGAGTAGAGGGCGGAGCTGGAAGAGGACTTTTTTGGGAGGCCCTTAGCTCTGGCCGTGGATTGGTTTTTGGATGACAACGCCAAGTTGTCACTTATCCCCATGGCGCTCCGGACAGTGGTCATCGCATACCTTTGGCGGCTCTTTGGTAACGTGGCTGAGCTTCCCATCTCCATGGACTCCTTGATGACATCACGGCCAAGCAGCTGGTTATACGATGAACGAAGGCTGAGGGAGGTGGGAGGGGTGGCGGATGCCCCGCTGCGATTGGCAAGACCTCCAGTTGAGGGGGAGGAGCCAGAGCGTGAAAGGGGAGGGGTTTGTACCGACATCATGACTGACGGGAAATACACCGCAAAGATGGAGCTGATGAGAGAAAAGATACTGTATCAGAAGACACACAGCTGGTTGTTTTGTGATAATGCACAACACACAGTGATAATCTGCTAATATATACGAGATTTAGTGAGGGTACCTTGGGGAATTTGATCATATATGGGCAACATAATAAAGTTTGACATGTTGTCAATAGAAAACCTAACCTGCCTCAGGTTGGTTTTGTAATACTCTCACTGCTTCCTTTCCATCATCACGCCCCTTTTTTACACATGAGGTGTCACTGTGTTAGACACTGCATCAAAGCCACGAAGCTGGACCGCATTTGCATTGTTCTGGGAATGAGTCAGATCCTTGATATATTCAACCAGGATTGACTTTCAAAGCGCGAACTGAACAGTAAGCTGGTCTGTTGGGAGGAGAAGAGGCAGCCGGCTCCTGCTAACTAACTAGACATGTGTCTTTTATCTCTGGGTGGATCAGCTATGAGATGCTGAAAATAGAGGGATGAATGGCAACGGGGAGCACGGCAGAAAATCACTCTCATCTTCAGATGTGGAACAAATTATATGTTGAATATATGATGATTAATTTGCCTACAGGCGGGAATGTATAAACATCCTGGCCACCAGCTCACAAAAGAACATCCCTTGAACTATGCTGCAGTCATCACCTGGACCTTTTCTCAGAGATATGGAAAACCTGAGTACAGCAGATTTCAAAGCGTGATACGATCTTGGGAAAAGACAGATGCAGAATGTTATAGCGAGCAGAATCTCTGGACTCTGCACTTCGTCCATGTGGGGCCTCTATCCACTCTCCACTGCATGGGCAGTTGTCATGTTGCCCCTCTGTCACCGAGCCAGACAACAACCAGTTTTCTGCTGAATGTGCACTCATCTCCAGGCATTTGACTCACAAACTATGTCAACAGGTACGACCCAGCTGCTGTGAACTATCCTGTCTTACAGGAAGCCATTTGTCATGAATTGGGAAAACTTATTTCTGCTGTTGTTTACATGGCAAATGTGTCTTCAGTGTAATATAATGTAGTCTTGTTTTAGGCTAATTACTTTTACTTGAATATTTTCAGGGACAAGGAAATGACTTAAAGACTTCAATATAACAATAACTTAATATTTCAGAGAAGAAAGACACAGATGCCGAATCTGAAGATGAAAATCACAGCAAACATGTGGTATGACTCAGAGGATAAACGGAATTTTGTCTCCCCATTGTGTCTGAGCTGCAGTCTGGATAATCGAAACACAGATAACAGCTTTTCTATCCTTCTAACTACAACACAGCCAGGTCTCTGGTAGTTAGACAAAGTGGGGCAGAGGGAGGATGCAGGGGAGAGTGTGGAGGAGAAAGGACGGTTATTAGAGGAAGTCAGGGAGAAAGCGAGGGGAATGACACAGCAGTTTGCAGGACAGTGGGACACAGTCAACACAAAGGGGTAGTTAATGACAATAAATCTGTTGTTCACCATAACAGCAGAGGTCACTCAGGAGGCTAACAATATTTTACCATCTGGATACCGACAGCAGAAAACATGGATACTCATGTCTCCATGTATTTGTTTCTTATCCCGTTCCTTGTTTTGCTTGGATGCACATTTTCAATTGTACATTCGTCATTGATCTTTCCCTGGATCCAATTAAAAGCATGTTAACGGGCTAAATACAATTTTACCTCTGGAACAATATGTGTGGACAGTGTCCTTATCTACTCAGGACATGTATGCACACATGGCTGAGAGACTGGTGCCTCTACCAGGGGCTCTTTTTTGCTTGACTTCACAGAAAAATATGCGTTACAGATTGATCATCAGCCCATTTCTTTCCACTGTCTGGGGCCTTAATGTGTCGCAATACAACACAGTATCAATTTCAAGGTACTTAGAGCTGCGCCCACCTCTTTAGGAAATGCAACAGATGAAAGCACAAGCAGGGGAGAATATTAACTTGGAAAAGTCGATGATGTCATGGGTGGAGTACTCTAGCCTCACGATTTCTTGTTGCTTCAATAAAACTCGCTCAATGACCTGCCACACACAGCTTTGTCCGCCCAAATCCGTAAAAAGCGCAAGCAGAGTTTGTATTGTTGTGTAATTGCAGTCAAAATGTGAACAAACGCAATCAATCTGTAGCATCCGGTGTCTCTCGTTCCAGCCCCCATCACCGCCGCACTGGGAGGGGAGCGCATCCCATCAAGAGCATCTATTTACATCCACTCACCGCTCGGTTCAGCTTCTGCGCCTCCCTTCAACGACGCACAGGATGGTGAGAAAGGGCCGAAGTCAAGGGGGGAGCTTTTAAGCGCCAGTCCGCCCGTACCTGCAGCCGGCAGCCCCTATCAGCTCACATCACAGAGTCTGACTGCCGCCCTCCCTGCCCGCGGATCGGTGCTCGCAGCTGGGCGGCCGGGTTACGCTTTCTCTCTGCGCCAGAGCATCCCCGGAGCGGCGCTGTGGAGCCCTGACGGCGGCCAATCACAGCCGCGGACGCAGGACGCTCGCAGCACGGAGAGGACGCAACCGTGATACATCCACCGGTGTTATTTTTGCAAGCCAGGTAATGAAATCACACATCATCTTGGCTGTGACGTCATGCAGGAAGACGGTGACACCCGGCTGGTTTAGAGAACAACACCGGTATGACACCTGAATCATAAACAGGGAGGAATTTCCTATTTGATATTCACACACAGGGGGGTTAAGAAAGAACCTTTAATACACACAATCCATTAGAAAAAAAAAAAAATTCTATTTTTTTCAATTTCTAATGAATGACAAAGTGGGCCGCTTGGTTTGGAAGTGTTTTATTCTAAAAAGTGCTCTCAGTAGTCCAACATCCTCCTAACAGTGCATGATAACATTGGTATGTGGTTAACAGGTTGAATGATAAAGTAATTGTTATTCAAATTAGAGAAATACCATTTCAGAATAAAACACAATTACATTTCAACGTTGACACTAATGTAACAGACTGTTTATAAGAGTAAATCAATTATATGAAGGCCAAAAAGCCCAAACAAAGGCACCTTGATATTTTTTATTAAAAAATGTGTTCCGACATTTTCAAAGCTTTATCTTTGATTCTACACAGAATTCTGCCAAACCTTTACCCTCATATATCATACCCAAACATTTTCACTGATAGAAAAAATTGTAAATCTGACAACAAAATATTACTGACCGATAATAAAAGCTTTGAACGCTGATCCAGCCTTCCTGGTCTGTACACAATTAACACGCTGACTTCTTCCTTTGGCAAAACTACATTCATACTTTGAGAATCGTTCCTCAGTTTGGCTTGTGCTAGCTTTTGCCTTTTATCCAATCCCTACAGTCCACTGGCAGGCTCCTGCCTGTGAGCCTGTTGGATGGAGGTGCAGAGGTAAGGCAGAGAATGCTGGCGGGGAGCACAGGCTCCCGGTGCTCCATGAGTGTGGCAGGAGAGGCAGAGTAGCGGGGCGATGACAGGCCAGCGTGTGCTGTGGCTGCTGAAGGCCTCTTTCTGTCACAGGGAAGCACGGTGCCGAACGGATGGAGCGCATCACGGCATCTTCTGCTTCAGAGGGATCACATGGGAAAATATGATGTTCGGAATTGCTGAAAATGTACAAAATGCAACAATGGGAAAGTTTCCAACAAAGCATGAGTTGTTACCTTTCCTATATGCTTCATTTGTGGGCGTCAGTAAGCTCTTTGCTCGCTTGTTGCCCGCTTGAGCGGCTTGTTTGTAGAATTCAACAGCTATTTTCAAGTTCTGCCGAACCCCAAAGCCGCTCTCATAGCACTGACCCAACAGCAGCATGGCAGTGTGATCCTGAGAACGAAAGGAAAGTTTAAGTACCTCGCATTTGCACAGGAACTAAGAGGTGAATTATCATCATCAACCGTAAACAAAAACCATAAACAAAAATATTTTGTTTGTTTTTACATAATACCTTGTCAGCAAACACTGACATTGTTTTGTTGAATTAGTTGGCACAAAATGGTAGAAATGTTTAAGGAGACATGTTCAAGTAGGTGACAGTGCAGCCTTCTTGATGTATCATAAGGGAGGGGATCTGAGACTTGGCCAGTGCCGGAAGTCTGGAAGCTTCTAGAAGAGCACTCACGCCGAGTTCTGCTGCCATCTTCAGACAATGGACCGACCTACACCCATGCCTCGCTGGATCGCGAGAGTAGACCGAGGCTAGGCAGATCTGAGCCTGCACAAGAAACAGGAAGTTGTTTCAATTCAGAGAGGTGGAACCTCCATCACCTCCAAACAGTGACTTAATCAGGCACACAGACATCAGGTGTTAGCCTCCCTGTCCACTAATCGAAAAAGTCACAGAAGCTACATCAGTATAACTCCAAACTCAGCTCAATGCGTGTGAAGTACAGCTGTGCTTTAGGAAAAATGCCCACTCAGCCGTTGATATTTACTGACATACGAATCAGCAAAAATTACATTTTCAACAGGTTCTGTGATCTGAACGTTCCTCTGAAGACTTCAAATGAAAAAATAGGTAATACAGTCCATAATGGGGAAATTACATTTAATGTAATAGTGGCTATAAAACTAAATAGAAAGTATTTACTTAAACTTAAGAGTTAGGCAGTTTGACAAACACTGTGCTGCTGTTGTGGCATGTACCATTTCCAGTATGTTCAAGATTTATCTGCTTATGGATTTTAAAATGGTTGTGTTTAAATCTGCACTGAAGTTAAAAAGGTGGATTTACCTTAGTGAGCCCTGCCGAGGAAGATTCTTCCAGCAAGTGAATGATGGTTTCCAGCTCCTGCCTACTCTGGTGCCCCCTGCTGGTCAGGAGCAGCTTTGCATAGCGATATTGAGCCTGTCTGTGGCCGCTGGCTGCAGCCTGTCTGTAATAATAAAGAGCCTTGGAGAAAAAAAAAGGAGGTATTGAAACAAATAGATTAAAAACGACACACACCTAAAATGAGAGAATCCATAGGTTTTTATCTCATGGCAGTGTTGACAACTAAAACCAAATATCCTCTAGTGTACAACTAGTGAAAACTGTGCTCATGCTGTTAAATATTGACCCGGAGTCTCTGAGGAACTGAATGAAAGGTTTTCATATCTTTGAAACCTCTATATTTTCAGGCTCTGCAGTCCCTGGAATATCTACTCCTGTCTCACCTTCTCCTCGTCCTTGCAGACTCCTCTGCCTTTCTCGTAGCACACGCCCGTGTTAAACTGTGCTTTACTGTAGCCGTGCTGAGCTGCAGCTCGAAAGCATGTGAATGCTTCCACATAGTTCCCACACTTTGCATTTTCTAGACCTGTTGGACATACACGAGCAACAGATATTTGACATAGACACCTAAAAAAAGGCTTTAGAAATCAAAATGAGCGTCACCCTATAATCTGCCGCAGTGTCTGTGATCATTACCCATGATGTTGAGGATAACCGAAACACTGGTGTCTCCCACTTGTCTGAGGTTAATCGCTGCTTCTGCCAGCCTCTTTTCATTTGAAGGCAAGTTCTAAAAAAAACAAATGAATCAAAATCTAATGAAAAGTTAGTGATTTCTTTGTGTTCAACAGAAAGTTATTGCATTCTTTAAAAAGTATGTTCGTTCAAGTTAATGACATTACTTTCACCTCTTGGTTCTTTTCTGTGTTGACTTGGCCGGTGCCTTCCTGTAGAGGGCAGAATGGGTCCACAGAGTCCTCTGAGAGCCAGGAAATAAAATTACTATCATCGTCTCATTCCAACAAATAACCAGCCAGCAAAATGGCTTAAAGCATTCATTTAAAACTATCCAAACGAACCCCTCTGAAGTGAGTCCTGGATCAGCGGCTCTCCCCGGTGGTCAGAAATGGAGCAGTCTGAAGACAGATGGTGCTGCTCGTTGCCGCTGGAAAGATCGTTTGTGCTGCTGCTGCTCTGATCTGAGGACTGATCTCCATTCTGTTTGTCTGGCACTCGCTGCATACACAACACACTCCTTCCTCTGGGCAGGACATCGCGTCGAGACACTGCAAACAGCACACAGAAAAACACAACGGGGTTTGGATTCTGATCACGAGGGAGCATGAGGAAAAACAACAACACCCTCAAAAAGGACTCACAAATCTCCAGCAGACTGCGGTAGCCACACTTCTGCAGAGCTGATGGTGCTGTCAGGGTTCCAGGACTGGGACTGGGCTCAGTGGAAGAGGAGAATCTGGAGTGGATCCTCTTGCAAATCTGCATGAACAGAACTGCCACCGCACCCTGTGGAGGCAGATGAATTCCACCGTCACCACACCATCTGACACATGAAGCTCCTGGCACTGACAAACAGATACGTGTCGCACATTAAAAGAAGGTAAGAAGTTTCCTTTCAATCCAAACTACACCAAGAGGGGATTAATAAAGCCATCTGGGTGTTTCTAAGACATCAAACACAGTCATTTCCTACTTATGGTATGAGGAACAACAGCAGAGACCAGTTTCCAAAAGCATCCGATGAAATAACTGTAGAGGGACAAGCTGAACAGAGAAAAAAAGTTTCCCGTCTCCCTCAACATTATCTCACAACTTCGTCATTTTTAACTCCAGCTCCATCCAATTTATCTTTTAAGTCAGAATCATCCTAAGGGAAGTTCCTGCATCTTTTGGTTGCAGGTTGGTCGAACAATAATATACTAACACAAACCTATATCATCCTCAGATTGGTGGCGTAATTGCAAAATTGATGTGTTCAGCTTACTGGGAGCATGATAACAAGTTCAGTCAGTTAAAGTTTCAACTGGAGACAGAGGAGCCATACCCATCCCACAGCATCCAGGGCAGAGTAACGGGGAAGCTCTTCAGCATAAGCAAACTGGAAGGTCCTCTGTTTCCTCCTCCTCTCTCCATCCTCCTCCCTATGAGAACTGAAACAAAAAGAGGCACTCAAAAAACAGCCAGCTACATTTGCATCTGAACGCATTAAGGATCCTGCATGATGCAACTTCATGAAAGCGAAGCAGCGAGGACAAAATAAGCTAAAGGAGGGACACCATCATCTAAATATTTTCTCAGGATCACCTGAACAAATAGCTGGCAGTTTTGTTTGTTCAAAACATGCTTTGTCTTGTTAATTTATTTTGTCTGACTCTGTAGACTTTCACCAATGAGCTAGCCTGTGTCTCAATGTCGAAGGAGAAAAGGTGGAAAGAATGGAGGAATACCTGCTGTCAGAGGGTTGTCGGGAGGAGGAGAGCGCAGCAGAGCCGGTGATGACCTCGTCTTCCACATGGTGGTTCTGGGATAATCGCAAAGTGTTGTTGCCAAGATATCGATGTAACACTGAGGTGGAAAAAGAAAGAAAGAAACAAACAAACCAACAGAATAAATTAATAGGTTCAGTCTAAACGTCCACCCTCCTTAACAGGTACATTCAGACAGTTCGCTTGTTCAGAGCTACAAATCAGTCTGTAATGTAACTTTTGCTCAGATCTACAGAGTGAAACTTTATACAGAAATTTAAATTGAAAGCAGACCTGATAAGTTACACGTATAAGAGCTAAAAAACATGCGCACAAGCATGAGGATAGGACTGTTTAACGTAAACAGATGGAGAGACAGAGTGGACCAGAACAACCCTGAGGAAGGAGGCAGCTGAGTAGCTCAGACCTGCACCAGCCATTAGTTTGAGGCCGAGCGCTTAGTTACATTGTTGGAAATATCTTTTATCACAATAACGAGCTGCTTTACAATTTATAACAGAAACAAAGTAGAATGAGATGTCTATTTGCCTCACCTCTTCCAACGAAACCTTGAACTCTAAACATGGCTGTTCCTGCTTGGCCGCTTCGACGACAGAATCACGGAAAAGACATGTTTACACCTCTGACAGGGACAGCTCGGCCCCGCAACAGGGCAACGCCATTCTTGTAGCCACTTTCCTGCAGCGGTTCTCCTGGCAGCAAAAACAAACTGTCACGAGTTGTGTCGGCGGAAGTCCAAGGCGGAAGGGGGTTAGGTGACGCAATTGGCAAAGCCAGAAAGTGGTTGGTGCCACATCACAGCGCCCCCAGTGGTGTGAGGGTGGAATTACGGCCTAACAGCGCCAAAGTGCAGACTGACTACTCTTGAGTGATCCAGTCTTGTTGAGATCTGGTGCATTATCCTTCATTTTTAACCAGGCTTCCAAGAGCTAAACATGTTTCTACAACTGTAAGAACACTGTAACATTTGAAATATTACACTGAAGATATTAGTGACCATGTTTTCCATCAGCTAACTGTTTGGCCTTTTCTAAATAAACATGTAAAAACAGATTAATGAGTAGAGATACCGATGAGTATGAAACATGAACACATTTCTAAGTTAAGTATTCTTATGTTGTTACAATGCAAAAAAAGAAGTTTATTAAGCTCTGCAACTCGAACATACGGTTCTTCCCACATTCACGATTCCTCTGAGGACACTTTAATGTTTGTTTCCAAGGAGAAGAGTGCCAGCTCAGTGAGGTGGTGAATAGGGATAAAAGGGGTGGTGTCTGAGTAATTTATGGATTGAGAAGTTGATTTAGGAAACTCTCCAGGGCTCACCAGTCACTTTGCAGAACGGTTTGTCTTTTCTCTTCATCCCCCATTGATCAAACTTGTGACGCACGCCCTGACACTTTACTGGAACTGCACACTTTTCCAGTCAGATGGGGTTTAACTGAAGGGGGCCAGGAAGGAGGAGATGTGCACTTGTGAAGTCAGTTCAAACTCAGAGTAATGAACCCCTTTCCCTGTTGCCATGGTGACACAGTCATCATGTCTTTCACTTATGGTCCTCCTCCCGCAAATAGCCTCCAGCAGTTTGCAATTTTAACAGAATCCCTGCTTTGCTAAATACTGTTTGCTTGAGGCAAGATTTTTCGGCGCAATATAGAAAACATAGAACTGAGCCGGAAGCAAAGTCCCCGCAGTGCTGATTAATTGGGCTGTATTTTTTTCTTACTTGAGTTCAGTCTTACCATTGCAGAAATTAAAAGCAACTGAGGGACACAATAAACACTAAGCAATTTCTAAAATTTGATTTTTTTAAACTACATTTGTACACTTTTGTGTAGTGGACAGTTTACTGAGAGATTGTTTAGCACATACTGAGACTAAATGTGATAATCAAGCCATGAGGGACTTTTGAAAGTAACTTCAAGTCAGGAAGTACCTCTTGAATTTAATTACAACATCTGACTGTCTTTATCTGAAAGCTTTTCATCTATTCAAGTAATTCATTAGTTACTATAATCACACCTAAAAAATACAAAGAAAATGGATTTGACCTGATAACTGTGGGCTCTGCCTCCCATTCTACTTTGAAAAACTCTACTAACTACAAGTAAACCTGTAGTCTGAGAGTGAAATGCTTTATTGGGAAAACAATTCAACATTGTTGATAAGATAGAATTTCTGCGACGGCATATTAAGTACCCTAATCTCAACAATTAAGAAATTCATGGACGAGTTTAGTGCATCACTCGGATGTACGCAGTTGTGGATACCTTTTCTTCTACTGATAGAGGGCATTTATCTCAAATGTTTTATTCCCAGGATGGTTGAAATCTTCCTTTGTTTCTACAAAACACCCCTCTGGTCCCCTTCGCTTGAACCTCTGGAATCTCAATTCCGCTGTGTCCTTGTGGAGAGGAAGACGAGGGAGGGCAGACCTGTGCTGGTGCAGTGGGTGGCTTGATGACCTGTCTGTTTTGTTAGCTGTGTGTGCTGCTGTGAGGATGGCTTGTTTGTGTTTGGTTTAGTGAGATGTGTTTCCTATCCTATCGTGGGCCTTTAGGATCTATCCAGACAAACGTGGATGTAGAAATGAAGGTGTTTGGGCTTTGTTGAGAGCTTCATAATTCCCAGGTCGGCGCAGTCAGCATTTGCTAAGTGTGAAGAAGTGACTGCCTTCAAGCGTTCTCGCTAATAGATCTATGAAGAGTGAGAAATAGTTCGATTTGTGCCCTACATTAAGTAAAGGGGGCGGGGGGAATGAAAGAGAAGGCACAGGGGGTGTTGCCCCTCTCTCCCCTTTTTTCTTTCCCTGCCGGTTTCCTTGGTCACACACATGCACAAACACTACTCACACACAAACACTGACGAAGGCTCAATCCTGCTATGGCCACCACCACCGCCACCACCACAGAAGAGAGTTCTGCGGTCGCTCCGGACGCCACAGCACCCCAGCAGCCTGACTTGAACACTAGCGTAGAACCCGACTCAACAGCACAGACTGAACCCTGTGATGCCGAAAGTGACAGGGAGAAAAAAGAGGATGACAAGCAGGAGGATGGAGGAGAAAGTTCTGCAAAAGAGCTGAGTTTGGATCCAGAGTGGGTGGAGGAAAGGTTCAGGATCGACAGGAAGAAGCTTGAAACCATGTTGTATGGTGAGATTTCATTGCCACACTTTTCATCTTTAGCCTCACATGCTCTTTCAATCTACTCTTTCAACATGTTTTTTCTTTCTGATGCCTATCATACCCCACCAACCCCTATGTTTTTGCCAGGGCCTTCAGCTGGCTGCACCCTTGTTGCTCCCATCACTAACTGCCATCCTCTAAGCTCCTGTTGCTGTGTCATGGTGATTTATGACCTGAGGTGGCTTTTGCATTCAGAAGTCCTTTTCGCTATTATCATTCCTGTCTGGGAAGCAGAGGTAACTGCCTCTGTTAGTTATCGCTGCTGGCAGGTTTATGACAAACACCTCCCTGGTGTCACAGGGGAAACTGTGTGCTCCTGCCACAGATGATGTTTTTCTCATGATGGGATGGTTCTTGAGTGAATTCAGCTCTGATAACTGTGGCCTGTTTTTAATGTGTGTGCAGCTGGGAACGCGTGTTTGGGGCTGTGCGCGCAGCCCCCATGCAGGCAGGAGGAAACAAAGTCTCTCATCCCTTTCAGTAATAACATGTCACGCTGCATTTGAGTCTTCACCTTGATTATTTTCACTTTTCATTTCAGATACACAAAAACCATTTCATTTTTATGGGAGGTCTTCGCATCGCTGAGTGCCACTGACGTGATTAACTGTCCCTAGCTTAATTTGTGGTTGTCTTAGCCAACCGCCACCTTCTCACTCCACCCCACACTGTTCTCTTCCCATTCCTCAGCCCCGGCCAGTGTAACCCGTAGTGATGAGGGGGGGGGTGAGGGCGTTCCAGGGGCTCCCCGTCAACCCTGTAAATGTCACCATGGGGCAATGGCCTTTTAAAAGTGTTTATGTTCCCGGCATCGTCTTTGTCACTCGTTTGGCAAATTTCAACCAAGTCAACATACAAAAGCTGTCTTTGCAGCAAATGGGACAATAGTGACAGCCGGACAGTCCACAGACTTAACGTTTGATCTGCATGTTGATTTTATTGATCTACTTTTATCTTTTCAGCTCCCAAAGAAGGAGACAGTGGTACTGGAGAGGAGTTTTTTGAGAGAGTGAGTGAAACTGCTATTGACACTTTCTGTTCATTGACAAAAACTTGAGAGACATTCTTTTGCTCCCCTCTTTGATAGTCACTGATACTTGAAGTCCTCTGCGAAAACATCTCCTTATCTACAGTTTTGATATTTGTCTCGTGCCCCGCACCAAGTCATTAAAATTTTTATATAGGCAAAAATTGCAGTCTTTGAAATGCAAATAAGGCCTTGTATTCTCAGAAAGGAGAGATCTGCTGTGTGTCTGCTCTGATGTTGCACACAGTGCTGACTGCTCCGTTTCTCACCTGTTTCCACAGGTAATGAAAGAAACTAACACTCAGGTGAAATGGCCATCCAAGCTGAAGATAGGAGCCAAGTCAAAAAAAGGTGTCTCAGTCTAACTAATTCAGAACATTCCATTTGTAACACAATCACATATTTGACAGAACTTTTTAAAATGTACTTGCATATTACAATCATATATATAGAACATATTTAAAAAAAAATATATTTTATATATTTTGGGCTTTTTTCTATGTGGATCTTTTGAGATTTCGTTTTGTTTAACAAATACATGGCACTGATTCTTTCATGTCCATCCAGATCCACATGTGAAGGTGGAAGGGAAAAGAGCTAATGTTTTGGCAGCAAAGAAGAAGATACTAGAAGTGTTGGAAACAAAGGTGAAGCTGTCCAAAATGTACAAATAATATCATGTTCATACACCGAAGTCAATTAATCGGTGTAAAAATGGCTCTTTTTTCTTGGATGGCCTGTAGGCAACAGATTGTAGAATGTGTATATCTGTCAGAATGACACTTGGGTTCATGTTTCAAAGCAGGTGAACAAAGTAACGCTGAAAATGGACGTGGCCTACACAGAGCACTCCCATGTGATTGGAAAAGGTGGTGGTAACATCAAAAAGGTGATGGAGGTCACCTCCTGCCACATCCACTTCCCTGATTCCAACCGCCACAACGCTGCAGGGGAGAAAAGCAACCAGGTAGAAGTCCACACCTAAATGTGCCGCCAGCTGCCACCACCACCAGAAACAGACTCAGCTCAAGACGTTTCTATTTCCTGCCTTTATCAGGTCTCCATTGCTGGGCCCGTGGAAGGTGTGGAGGAAGCCAGAAAGAGGATAAGAGTGTGTGATAAATTCATTTGGCTTAAGTTAATATCCTCATGAGTGTCAGACAAGGACAATTGATGTAGTCAGTGAAACTTATACAGCTAAATTAGTCAAACTAATTTTGTTACCTTTCCGCTCTGTCGCACTCAAAGGACCTCCAGCCACTGTGTCTGACCTTTGACCTGCCAGTCACTCTAGTGCCCCAGGCTCTGCCAGATGCGGGCTCACCCCTCGTTCAGCAGGTCGTGGCGGCTTTGGGGGTGAGCGTGAGCTTCAGGGCATTGCCCCCGCCGCCCCGGGCCCATTCCTCCTTTTACGGGAGCTGCTGCAGCATCTGGGGGCTGCAGGGGAACGCAGCCACTGTCAAGGTCAGCACCAAAGATTCCCGACCGCTCAGTTTTGCACACAGAGAGGGGGAGGTTTCCGATAATCATGACTAGTTTATGTGTGTCATCTCCTGACAGAAGGCGACCTGCATCCTCATGGACCTCCTGCTCGGATCAGAGGCCACGGGAGGGGTGGTGAGCAGTCAGCTGGACGTCACCTCTCAGCAGCACCTCTTCCTGCTGGGCCAGAACGGAGCCCACTTTGTGAGTGTCATGCATCAGACCCAGACCCAGATCATCCTGCCGGACCTCAGTGCTCCTCAGAGTCCCCCCTCCTTGCTCATCCAGGGCAGTCCTGATGGGGTGTGTCTGGCCAGACAGCAGCTCATGGTACGGTGGGGAATTTTTTGTATCGGACCTGTAAAGCAATATTCAGACAAAACAAGAGCTTGACTATATAAAAAAAACAAAAACATTATTATTCAGGTCTGTGTCACTGACATTGTTTTTAGAAGTGCATGCAATATCTTAACAAACCATGATAAAAAGGAAATTCCTCATGTTTTCTTAATTTTCTATTTCCTTTTACTTCGTTTTCCATGTGGAATATGTGTGCACACTTTCAGGACTGTCTGCCTGTGTGTTTGATGTTTGACATGCGTGACGATGGTGAGGCAGATCCATGTAAACTGGCACAGATCATGCAAAACCTTGGAGTCTTCATTAGTGTCAAGCCCAAAGTGAAACAGACCAGCAAGGTACTTGTTATTCCCCCAGATTTACAGCTTTTTGTTTCAGATGTCTTGTCAAAATAAATAGTCGTCCTGTTGATTTGTCGGCTGTCAGTTGCGTGTTTTTACAGGTCATTCACCTTCAGTCTGTTAAGCTAACTACAGAGATTGTGATTACTTACTTTATATGCACTGGATTTAAATATTTATCAACTCTCTTCGCTTTATATTTAGGATGTAAATCTATTCTCCCCTGTAGATCCATGTGGTGTAGTGAGTTGAATACTGATGGAAACATCTGTGTTGATGTATATTTATCAGTCAGTGGTAGTGAAGGGTCTGGAAAGGAACATCTCCTGCCTTTACGAAGCCCGCCGTCTACTTTTGGGACTGGATTCTTGTGAGGCTGCCAATATAACTGGAGGGAACTCTGACCTCATGTTACCCTGTGGTGGGCTGACCAACTACTGGCTCAACATGTTACTGCAGCAGCTTCGCATCTCAGAGCTGGGTGTGCAGGCACACACATGAACACAAACACACACAAACACACGCACAAACACGTATCTAGGCGTGTCTCTCTCTCTTTTAATATATGTGCATGTGTATTTGTCTCGAGGAGACACATTTACCCTCAGAATGGTTTAAAGAATATGAGTTTTTCTGGCTTTCACGCATTCAAAGTTTAAAAAAATTGCGGGAAGTTGCAAAATTCATGTTCCTAACATTTAGTGTATGACCCCTTTGATGCTGCATAATTGGCACATAATGTACCTACTAGAGTATGTGACCAGACAGGCTTCCCAGTGAAAGCAACAATTTACTGTCATTGTCAAATTCTACATGTATGAAGACATAGAGAATGTTTGTATGTCGATATATTTCCCCGTCTTTCTGGTCAGGCTCTACACTTACTCCAAGTACAGAGGTGCTGACCGGTACTAAGCCCCGACCCTCGCCTCCACCAGGCCTCCTCTCTCCCCCGGAGGAAAGCAGGACAGGGCTGAAGGGAGCAGATAGTCGGCCACTGGAAAAGGTGGTTATTTTTCCAATGGTCAAACAAAACACAATGAGGTTTTGCCTTAAAAACATCTCTACTAATTCCAAAATGTGTTTCTATATTTTTTCTTCAGATCCTCGAGAATGAAGACCAGTCTGGTCAGTCAGAGGACGAGAGCTCTGAGGTCTCTGTGTTGTCACCATCTGACATGTGCGATGTAGTGAACAACAGCATCAGCAGGCTGGTGCTGAATGGTCGCAGAGGGAGTCTCCAAAGTCCAGAGATCGCCAAAGTCCTCTGCCAGGGTAGACGCCATTCGACAGGGCAGTCGTTAACATTCAGGTGGGCATTCACAGATATCAGTGTCACTTTCTGTGTCATACATTTCTCGATGATCCTCTTTGATGAAGTGCCACTGCATCAAAAAAAGACACGAAACCAAGTGAATAAATGATCATCCTTGTAGAGACCAAAAGATCAGGATGAGATGTGATTCATCACTTTGATAAGATGAATATGAGTGGAAACACACACACAGACGCTCAAGCACAGGAATTTCCAAATCTCACATTCATAAACAGAGGAAACCCTATATCTGTTTAACTCTCATTCTCCTCTTTCCTCCATTTGCTGCTCACTGGTAGAATTTTGTGAAGCTATGAAATTTAGATAAAAACAACACAAATTGAATAGTTTGTTTAATAAGCATGATTACATTATCTTTTAAAAGTTTGCACTAAATTGCTGCAGCAATGAAATATGATAAGCCGTCAGATGCTGTTTAAAACCATCAGACCTTTGGATTAAAGGTCTGTGTTTGTGCGTGCATGTGTTTGTGTGTGTGTGTGTGTTCTATATGTGCCAGATTGAACTCAGAGGCCGATGGAGGGAGGAGTGAGAGGAGAAGCAGCCTGAGGAGAGACATGATTCTTGCTGAGAGCGTTCATGGTGACTCATCCAAAGCTGAGGTGAGGAAAAACAGGAATTGCTGTGTAATATGTGCCTGTTGTCTTGTGAAATCACACTATGTCCATGCAAAAACACTCAGCATCTCTCTGAGCCCTGAAGGACTGCCTACGAATGTGAATATAGAAGGGACAAGAATTCACTCAAATCAGATTAATACCAATAGAAGTTGATAAGTTAGACTCAAAAGCTTTGAGATTGTAATCTTTGCACTTACGACCCTGAAGGAATTTAGGTTTGCATTCCAACTTTGATGTTTTTTCCTTCCCATACTGTCATCTTTCTTTCAAAGGTTACTGCAAGGAGAATTAAACAATTTTACATCCACACCAGCAGGAAGTGTTCTTTCAAGCGAGTGTTTGTTCCCGCTTTAAATTAGTTTCCCACTGCATATCCTGCGTTACTAAAGGGTAAAAAAATAAATCAATTTCATGCATTATTTACCTTCTCTATTTGCTGTTTGTGCTTTGTAGGTTTATGACTATGAGAGGAAGAAAGTGATGGCAACCAGAGGTAAGTTCGCTAATGTGATTACTTCTTGTCTCACAGCACTTTTGGAAACACTCCACAGCCTGTTTGGTGATAATTTTGATTTTGTAGAGATGATTATATGAAAGCCACTATAGCACACCTTTTTGTCACCTCTGCTGAAAAACATTAGATCAGGGATTTGAGAATACCTGAAAGTTGAATTTGATCATCAGGGTCAATTTCAGCATCACTAATTGCCAGGACAACTGAAACAGAAGACCTGTTTATGTTCCAAAGTTATAACAGAACGGCACTGGCACTCCCCCATAGTTCACAGAGGGTGGACACACGTGATTCCAAACCCCATCACACACGTAGCAAGAGCTTCCTCATCCATCATATAGAATGGGAGATTCAGAGGTGAAGCCAAATGCTATGAAATTCCCTCAGTGTTGTTTTATGGGATTATGAATTAGCAGTTTGAACGGGCCATCTGCTTCAAACAGTCATTAAGACACCCATATGCCAGAATATGAATGGGGTCTTTATTCACACGGAGAAACATTTGCACATACGAACCACAACCACCCGTCATAATTCTGTGGATATTGCACTCTGTGTGGAGTGTTATTCCTGTTTTTATCACACATTGACACATGGAAAGGACCCAGTGTTTGTCACCGTAGTTTCTAGCAGTCTTTGCATTCTGAGTTGTAAAAGTGTAAAACATGCTGGCAAAGCATAATACTGAGTCATTATTTAATTAATTTACTAAGCTTGCTTAATGTCTAATGTCAAAAGGATGTGAAAGGATTTTTGTTACTGATACTTCAACTCATTGAACATTTGTAACAGCAAAGGGCTCATCTGTGTCACAATAACAACCCAGAGTTTTTGGAAGAAGGAATTATTAATTTTTTTGCCAAGGCCTGCTATTTTAATTCAGGAAGTGTTTGGGTCACATCATGGAAATCTTTAACTGTGTTAATATAAATATTTAAGCAAACCCATGTGTTTCTTTTAAATCCCCAATCCAAACCACATTTCGATTAATATTTCAACCTCACCATTTATATTTAATGCCCAACTGAAACCAACTGTGACCGACAGCAAGGTAGAAAAGTTATTGAACTGGGACTGGGACTGATGCTTACATGCTGTAACACCTGTTTAGCATCTCTCCCATGTCCTTTAGATGTTTTTTGAAAATTAAATTTGTTGTATCCCACCTGTTATGGCTACATAAAATGAGAAACTCAATCAACTAACAATTTGTAAAACATTGGTATCCAACATTCAGAACAAAATACTGCAATTTAAGAAAAACTATGTGCCAACATATGCCATATAATCAATGCCATTGCAATATCGAAACCAAAACGTATCCATTTTAAAGGTCTTACTCCCTGACAATGAAAGACATTGCAGTTTGTTACATATGATGCACGTTGATATGTTAGTCCTCTGGTCTGGAGTCTGTGGACATGTGTGCAACTCCCATCTTTGTGTTTGAATGCATGGTCAGCCATGCAGAGGAAACCTGTGGTTACAGAGGTCCGGACACCCACGGACACTTGGAGCGGCCTTGGCTTTTCAAAGTCCATGCCAGCTGAAGCAGTCAAGGAGCTTCGCAACATCAGCCGGCGCAGCTACAAACCCTACCTCACTAACAGCAACAATCTGCCACAGGTGCAAATGAGCTTCACGTTAAATTCAAGACAGAAACAAAATTCAAAGTTATGATTTTATATGCTTTTGCTGAACCCACCGAATTCTTTTGAGAATCATTTTATGTTATGCTTGTTTGATTCTACCTCCGTCTAATTTATTTCTCATTCCCTCCAACGGTTTGAAGCATTTATCCCCCTGTGTGGTTCGCTTGCCAATTTGCACGCTCAATTGTCAGGGGTCTAATACTATTGCCACAATACAATCTCTTTTGTGAAACCTGTATACCCGATTTGTTTTTAGCTCTCTCCGGCTCTTTGGAAGCCTTTTCAATAATTGCTATTTGACTGCCCAGTTACCATAAGACTCACATAAGATAATAAAAACAGCACACATTTCTAAAGTTAATTCAATAGTCTTCTGATGCTTGGTTAACTCAAGAGGAATGAAAGAATGCTTGCTGTCGTTGCATGTCAGAGCACAAAGAAGAACGAGCAGGTTTGAAAACATGCTATCGTTTTTCGTTGATTAAATCTTTATGAACGCATGGTTATAAGAGACTGTCACACAAACCCACAGAGTGTTTATGGAAGCAGTTACAACCAGTGATTGCATTTAAAGAACATGTGACCTCAAGCTTTCATGCAAACATGTCCAAGTGAAGGATAAAGAGAGAGATGGTGATGGTGCGGTCAAACAGCGAAAAAACATTTTAGGCCCTAATCAGGATTTCTTTCTAACCTTACTTAATTACTTTTGACATTAACATCAACAAAGTGATGCTAAAGCCAAACATCGAGGCCTTTCCTTTGTAATGAGGGAGAGGGTCATTTTCTAGAATGAATGTCTTTTAAGCCTAACATGATCATTTTCTTACCATAACCAAGCCAAGTATCATGCTATTATTGAGGGTTTGCTATTCTGCATGTCACATCCTACAAACCTTCACAGTTTAAAGCCACACTACTCCATGCACCCTACTTCTACGTCTTTATGAGGACTTTGTGGCTTCTTAAACAAAAGTAACAAGAATTACATCTGCCCCGATGTGGACACGCTCGTATGAGTCATACGTCCCTACTGCCAGTTGAAGGCAGGGAACAGAATAATGAATTCTAATAAGTGTCATGAACAAACAGCTTATGTAAAAAAAATAGTAGGTGTACTTATAGTTTTAGGTGTAAGAGGTAGGTGGTTAAAAAAGTAGAAATCACATTAATTTTTAATACCGTCTCTCTTTCTGTTGCTGCATTTATTCTTGTACACCTCAGACAGGGAAGGTGTGTAATGGCAGTGATTCTGAGAACTGGAGGGACCGACGTGGATCTGCATCCCTTTCTGTTTCCTCCTCCTCTCCTTCTTCCCCTCCGTCCTCCCCGTCCTCCCCCTCTCCCACCTTCTCTTCCTCCAACTCCTCCTTTCCTGCATTTGCATCCTCAGTGAGCAGAGGCAGAAATGACAGACCCTGTAAGTCGGCACCGTGCGTGCTTTTCAATCTTGACAAATCAGAGTTCAGTTTTCCCCTGACTCACTGTACCCTCTACCTTTCAACTTCAATGTACAGTGGAGAGCTTTCCGAACAGTAGCTACTTTGAAGGTGTGTGCTTGTCTACGAGGGCACCAGCCTGCAGCCAGCGGAGTCTCTCCCCTCTTATGACAGATGATCTACCTGAGCTGCTCAGGCAGCTTGGCCTTATCAAGTACATCGACGTGTTCGAACAACAAGAGGTAAACTCACTGCAGCTTTTCGGTGAAAAATACATTTGTTATTTGAATCTTCATTGCTTACAAATGCAGGACATTGATCGTGGAGATGGGTTGCACAATCATTTTTTATATCCGGCCAAAAGAGTAATGCATTTGAAAATAGTCTCATGATGCTACTGTTGTCTGTACTCTGCCAGATTGACTACCAGACCTTCCTCACTCTGTCTGATGAAGACCTGAAAGAGGTTGGTGTCTCCACTTTCGGCGCCAGACGCAAGATGTTAATAGCAATCTCTGGTGAGAATCTGCTGCCCCCCGTTCTACGCGAAATCTGCCTCTCCATCTGTCAAGGTGCTGGGTTGTGTTTGCCTCATCACTCTAAATGATTTGTCCCCACATCCAGACCTGAACAAGAGCAAGAGGAGGCTGTCAGATGCACCTACTCTGAAGTCTGGCTATCTGGAAGGTGGCGCGAGTGGCAGACTTCCCCGCATCATGGATTTGGAAGCTGCAGCTCAGAGTAACCGCTGGTGACAGACACTGAGATCCATGCTACTAATGTGGTGAATGCAGGGAAAAGGTCTGAACTGCTTTTTATTCACCAGATGTGTGATATAGCTGTGAGAAAAAGGAGAAATGGATCATGGACTGGCACCATTAAAAAAAGTTTGGATTCTGTGTAAAATCAAAATAAAAACAGATTGGAATGATAGCTCAGTTTATAAATGAATTTTTCAATTACAACAGGACACAGAGTTAATGTTTCTTCTGAAGGCCTCTGGGGTTTGTTTCTTTTAAAAAAAACCCTCGTCATGTCACTTGCTGGCTGCCGGTTAACAGCAACATATTTCTCAAACTTTTAATACCACTTACTTTTACCTCCAGTTCAAACATTTTTGTTGCTCTGTTTTTATTCACGTTTTACACAGCATTCCTTTCTTTTAATTTGTGGTCGCAAAATCAGTGGCTTTATTCCACAGCCATAACCCAAAGCTTTTTAAAAAATGTAATTCAAGACAAGAAGGATTTCCTTTTCAAACTTGAAATTTTACCTGAACAAATGATTTGACTTTTTATTGGAAAAATGTGCATTTCTTATGCAAGTAAGTTATCTACTACATTTATGCAACTATGTTTATATATGTTTACAAAAGAAAAAAGTGCATACTATTGTAATACAGATTAAATAAATAAAAGCATGGTTGAAGCTTATTTATGGAGACTGTAATGCATGATTTCAAGGTATAAAAGAGGAGAGAAGTGAATGAAATGCAGAAAAAAGGTCCAGACTTTAACAGTCTATGCCTTAAACATGTTCTCATGTAGCGTGAAGCGGTGGTCTGCTCACAGACTGCATGACACCACCAGAGGGCAGTGGTGTTGCATTTCGCTCATAAATATTTGTGACGCATGAAATAAATTGAATTAATTTCAGAGAGACACAAGCATAATAATTCCTGATAGGCAAGGTGGAGTTGGTATAGTAGTGACAATGAGATAAGGGTAAATGAGTTAGAATACTTAAATAAGGGAAAGTCTTTGGAGTATTTACTGCCAGAATGTTTCATTTTAATCAATCAGGAAGGATGGAAATATTTAATTTTTCAGCTGGAGAATCTTCCAAACAAATTTGAGCGGTTAAATAGAGCAACCTGGCAGTAATTTACAAATTTAGAATTGTGTTGATTGGGTGACACATGGAGGTGAAAGATCCGAGGTACCTGTGCCTTGGGGCATGAGGGTGTCTGATATGTTCAGGGACTTCACAAGCTGGCTGGTTCGGCTGCAGCCAAGCATGAAAGCGAGAGCGAGTTGAAATTGTGGACTGTGACAGATTAGGGAGAGATGATCCCTACTTATTACAATGTCTCTGCCAATTACATAGACAGGCTGTACACCAGTGATCCTTAAGTCTGGTCCTTGTGTTCTGGAGCACAGGTGGGTTTTCATCCTGTCAGGTAGTTAATTGCACTCCCCTGGGGTCACAGGTCTAAATCAGTTATCACACAGCTAGAATGAAAATACCCGGAAAAACGAACCATGCACTGAACCATGGCGACTTTTAAAGAACTTCTTGGACTTTTTGCTTTTTCAAGTGGCAGTCTGAGTACATGGCCTGGTTACAAGGTGGATATATGAAATATTGGAACAGTGAGCACACTTCATCTGATGCTCATCTTCTTTTCTCTGTTTTGGTACTGGAAAAAACTTTGAATATTAATTGGATATATTAATTTGTAGAAATAAAAGCACTCAGTATTTCATTTTAGGCCCGAGAGAGTGGTTAGTTGTTAAAGCAGCACAATGATCCCGTATGATGGTTTATACTTAAAGTCAAAGTAACTTTAAAGTATATAACTGATTGTACCTTCCTAACATGTTAGTAGAAGAGCTGTCAGCGCTTACTCAGTAACTTTGAGTTCAACAAAACAACTCACCGTCAGGGTAGGAACCGAAATTATCACAAAGGAGGATAATAACCATGAAGCAAAGAAAAGTTCAATTTGATGCCAAAATCACAATTACAAAAAGCCTTAATTGCATGCATCGTCAGTCTCCTTGGAGACCACTGGTCAGTGGGATGATCCAGCCAAAAGGGAGGGCATCTATGGAAAATAAAAAAGCTAGCAACAGAGAAATGAAACAGAGCACTTATGTGCCCTGAGGGTAAAACTAAACACACTCCGGCTCTTCAGAAATGAAGGTGAAACTCAATCCTAGAGAGTGAAAGAGGCGTTCAGTGAAAAATACATTGCTTGTTTGTGTGTGAGGATATTAAGAGTTGATGGTTAGCTCTGAGAGATAGTTATGTCACCAAATTAACATAATTGGTTAAAAAATGCATTTAATCAATTATGGGATTATTTAGAAATGTCAGTAGTTTTTTTTCCTCAATCTTATGATACCGCGTCTCAAATATGAATGTAATTTTCAGTCACTGTTTCCACTGGTCTGAAAGTTGAAGTGATTAGTGATAGAGGACAGATGTTTGGGCAGGGCTGGGCAAACTATTTACCCCGGTGGCACAAATAAACTATAAAAGTTAATGCTATCAATAAAAAAGGGTACAGTTAAATTTTGCAACAAATTATTGATGAGAGGTCAGTCTTGACTGATATTCTTAGCATTTATCTAGCATATATCTCCAAAAGTGAAAGACTTGCATATTTAATCAACACAATGATGATTGTCTTGATTCGCATGTCTTTCAGTTCTGTGTATTTTTCTAATTCAGTTAACTTATCATTCAATATACACTTTCACATCTCAATTTTTCAGATTTTGATTATTGAATGTACCGAGATAATCTGTTCTAGTTTCAAAAGAAAGAATTAAATATTTTGAGTGTGGAACAGGGAAAAGTCGACATTTTTTGGAAAACTTATCAAGAAGCCTGATGACACGAGATGATACACTATCCAGCGTCCCAGAACTGATGAAACACTCTTCTCAGCTCCATGAATAAATTGATGAACATTGTTAAGCAAGTTGTCTGTTCTATCTGACAGTGACTGTTGCGGACTGCTGAATAGGCTTTTCCAAGAAAGAAGATTCACTTGTCCTTTAAGTCTCTGATTGGTGGGGTACAGTATGTTTTCTAAGTGCTGAACAGGCTGTTTCAAGTTGGTGGGTTCAGCTGTCCTTATTTGCCAGTGATATTACAAAAACACTCATTAAGCTTTCATGTTCTTTTTAGTCATTGTGCCCTTTGTGATTCTCCTCTTTTAAACGCATTGATAAGAATGTTCTTTTAGCTGCTACTATTTAGGTCTGCTTCTAACAGAGGATGTTGCTTTCTCGAGGTTGGAAAAGGACAGAATTGATGGAAGATCTTCTTGACTGTTCCATGACACAAAAATCCAGGCCTTGGAGATACATTTTGCCAACAAATAAAGGACCTCATGCCTTTTTGGTTTCAAACTAAAGAAAGGGGGCTTTTGTCATTCGTCATATTCTTATCATGATTTGTTCAAATAAAATGACATGTGAGTCTTGTGCTGAAAGTAGATCATCACGAGTACAAGAGACAAGCGGACACAGACCTGTAAGGTTCAAAAGACACTCAAAGTGCCACTTTACTTAAATTTTCAAAGTTACAAATAAAAGTTCACGTAGTCGACATGGTAAAGATTTCAATTTCAAATCACTGAACATATCCAATGTCGGGAGGCAGAGCAGAGCCTCGTCTCTGCTGGACGTCTCATGTCCTCCCAGCTCAGGAGCAGCATCCTCCTCTAGTGTCCGTGCACAGTCAAAAGGCCTCAGTAGCTTTACTGACCAATTAGCAAAAGAACAGCTGGCTGGGTTGCCACAGATTTGCACTGTAGGCCATGCAGTTAGCTTTTTCTATCCTACTATCTCACTTCAATGCAACTTGCTACCTCCTGAGATTGGGAGAAGAACCAAAAGGACACTAGACAGCATCAACATAGCAACAAGTATTGTAGCAGCCAAATAGGCATCACTTTCTGATTTGAGATGCATAGAGCTGGACCTGGCCAGGTAAATCTCTCTTTTACAGATACACGATGAGAAACATGCAACAACAACGACAATACATCATTAATTTCAGTGCTTCCTGGACTTTCTGGGACGTTCAAGATCAACAATTAGTAAATTTACAATCCTCCATGGAATAACAGAGGGAGCATCTCAGAGCCTGAAACTATGGCAGCATTCTGCAGAAAGATGCATGGATACTGGAAAGGAGACCAGTGGTGGGATACATAACATAAGAATGGGCCTCTGCTGGATTAACAGAGAAGGGAATCCACAATCAAGCCTCCTTCAAGGAAACATATTTACATCCAATACATCAAGCTAATGCATCTGGGCTGACAGACTGACCAGACACTGATATTGACATTCAGCAGTAGGAAAGAAAGGACAGAGACAGAGAGTTGAAAAGATAATGGAGGGGTGTCCATGTTTGAAGGGTCCAGGCTGAATTTTGTTTGGGGGAAGTACAAGCAGAATGTGGACAGACTGAGCAGAAATCTAACAGGCTCATTCTTCCTGTCTGAGGAAAGAGCAAACGACTTGACACTGAGCGAGTCTGAAGGTATGAAGGTTCACTGAAGAGAGAGATTTCAATGAAGGGTAGGGATTACAAGAGCAGGTTCAGGAGTCAAAGGATGGACTACTGCCAAGGTAACTGGTGGAAGAGACATTGGAATGGCTTCAGATCTGTGCCGAGTTTACGGAGTTTCCTGGTCAGCTGATGGCAAAGTAAAATGAAGCAGAGCTACCAAATGTAACCAGTTTCATCATCCTTGTATTCTTCCTCATCTTCATCATCCTCAATGGTGCCTCGGGGATGAATTCGGCCCCTTCTCTTCTTCTGCCGTCCACTCCGTCCATTCTGTGATGGCACTTCCTCCTGGTCATCAAGGAGAATGACTGCACCACCACTGCCAAAATCCCCTGATGTCTCCTGGTCTTCGTCTGCAGATAAATGAGAAATGAGAAAAACAACACAGAAGCATCTTAGTAACTCAGAAATATCCCCGAGTCAAGAATAGCTGGATGGATCATGACATTCAGCTATTCCTCAGAACAGAGGAAATTCTGTTCTGTCATTTCTCTGGATTTGATGCTGTTGTTTAGTGCCAAACTGGGAATTTTGTAAAAATGTGATATGATTTGGAACCCATACACATTTCATCAACATTCCAGAGCACTTACAAATGTAGTTAATATCTTATTTGCAAAAATCTGATTTACTGAGACACCATCAACAGTGTGTTTTTTTTTATTAGAATTATTTAGCTGTGAATCGACTGTGTGATTGACCAGCACATTCTGTTCCTTTCCAGACAATAATCACCAGAATGGAGGAAGAATTGAACACTGTTCATTATTCTTCCATCCAAACATAGTGAGGAGCCAATGAGTTGTCAACTAACTCGCTTCAGTGATTTTTGGCTGGTGGTAGCTGAAGGTTGGAACCGGTATAGTCACACTGATGACAGGAGACATTAGAGCAGCTCGGGCATTGCAGGTTTTCGAAGACTCAAATGCAGAGATCCTTAAGAGCTCGATTCCAAATGGGCCACTTACACATGGGAACAAATAGTCTGCACTAAATGTGTGTTTGAGTGGCACATTTAAATGTCTTTGTGTTTGAGCTATTGAGTGGTCAGTCGCAGTGCTTGTTATATGCAGGGGAAAATGGGAAATCCACAAGCTGCTCCAGCCCGAGGCTATTCGGGCAGAGTTAGATGAGCTTGTTCAAACAGAAACAAAGGATAGCTGTTTTCTATTTGGATATATGTGTGTGTGTGAGTGAGTGCATGAATAAATGTGTGATGGCTGGACACACACCATATCAATATTGCAAGCTGAAATGATGAGCCCGGCATTCAAGTGAGCGGCAATATGTGCCTGTAAGTTTACCATTTGATTGCTAATAAGTATATCAGCCTTTTTCCTGCTGTATATTTTGTCACGGTGAAATCTCCTCACAACTGATCGCGAAGTGCTGCTGTTGACGCTTTTATAATTTTCTTTGAATTTCTGCTGCTGGCTTATAGAACATGACTCATGTCGAAATGCTATGTTGGAAAGCAGGTTTTAGATTACTCTCTTCCACAAGGTATAACTCAGTCCATGTTTATACCTATATTTCCAACAGATTTAATCAGGGATTGCTGTTTGTTGAGAACAGGGACAAATATTTTCACTTGAATTTCAAAATTATTAAAAAAAATAATTTTACATGAGCAGGATATTTGATATATCAGAGCCTGCAACACTGGCTCCAGGGGCATGCCTAACTTAAATTCTACCTGACCTGTAGAGATGGCTAAAGAATAAGACAGACTGGAAGATTTACTGAACAAAAAAGTAGAGCGAATCTTTAAAATCCCCTCTCTGTTTTTCTTTGATAGATTTGCTGAAGTGAGAATCTAAACATTTTCTTTCATCCATAGCAAATTCCCTTACTTTGGAATCTACTAAACTGACAAAAGATAAACTTCCAGGTGCTCACCAGTAAATAAATAGGTGGGGAAAGCACAACACAAGTCTGTTCTGCTCCAGAAAACTGGTTCGTGTGTTGTGTGTGGTCTTACCGCAGTTGGGGTTGCCCTGTTTTCTGGAGCCAGCAATCTCATTGCCATATTTGTCCACACACCAACATTGGCCAGTGCTGCCATGACACTGGGTTGGTTTGTAGTAGCCCTCCTCAGTACAGCGAGGAATGTAAGAGCCTGGAGACACAACGAGAAGCATGGAAAGGAAGAGAAAAAGGAGGTAAAGAGTTTAGGAAAGGTTAAGAACATTATGTCAGTAAAAAATAGAACATCTAATCTGATCTCTGCTCAGCAGAGGTTACATGTTTATGCCCTGAGGTTACAACCAAAGTTCTTGTGTATTCACAGAGGGAGATCAACAGTCAATTACTGCTGTGAAGGTTGCAGGACAACAACCATACATCCTGCTTAAGGGAAAGCAGTCACTCTCGATAACACACAAACAAGCCCCCGCTCACACACACACACACCTATTTTCTGTTACCTTCATTTGACCCAGTCCCAACTCATTCCTCAGGCTGTTTTGCTGTGAGCTGATGCTCTGCCCAATCTTCCCTCTTGGAACAGGTGACACATGTAAAAAATGCCTGGATGTGCTTTACACTGTTGTTTAAACTCTATTGCTCCCCTTTCATATTTTAAGTTACTGAACAGGACTGTACTTCTCAGGCCAGGCTGTGCATGCTATCACCCCGTGAGTTTCAAAAGCAGAGTGACAGGCAGCCGTCACCTCTTCAGACTAACCTATGAGGCTCTTTCTTCGACTCTGGATCCTGCTCTTCTCTGTTTGACAAGGCAGTCCTGCAACAAGAGAAAACACATCATGAACTTATTAAAGGAGCAACTAAATTTTATGAGAGGGAACTGAACTAGGTCTCCCTCCTTCTTACCACACTACAGTTAGTCTGACTTGTTGCCATTATCTAAGAGCATGATTCATCTCAGTCACTGTCACTTTTACACTTCTACATCCATCCTTCTAAATGACCAATCTACACATATTCAATGTTTCAAGATTCTTATTCAAGATTTTCACTCTTTGTCTACAGCTACTCAATGCTTTTCATAGCCCATTATTGGCTTTAAGCACCATTCCTTTGTTTTCCCCATCAGCTGCGACTGATGTATCACATTGACTCTTAAAGTCACTGTTGAACACCTTAGAAGTTGGGATTTTTCTTTTGTTTTCATTATCATTATGACAAGGCAATTGTCTCAGTGAAGTTACACATACTATGTGGTTTGCATCAGCTTATACTGGTTTGATAGTGTTGGAATGAGGCTGAGCCGAGGATGCAGATATGAACACAAAATTTACATCACAATCAAAAAGCGAAGACATCTAAAATAAATGTGACGACTTCCCTTTAGCTAAAGAAAATCCACTTAATTATGTTTGTTAGCCAGCTGTTGGCTGGTGTTCGCCAATAAATGAATGGCAATATCATTTAAATTTTTAAGAAAGAGAAGAATTGGGATGATAGCCTCAATTCTATCTTTTGTTCTCCTTTCTACATTTGCTGCCTCTAGCTTTGGTTTAGAATCTGTGTCCAGTTACACAGAGCCCCTTAAACACTTACTTAGTGTCCATATCAATTCTTGATATATATTAACTGGTGTTGTAGTTGAATGTTAAACCCTCGTTTTGTAAATCCGTTTTGATAAAATCGTCTGCTAAATGCATGAATGTACATGTAATGAATTGTAAATTGTGTCTTTTCATTAACATTTACTTGGATGCAGATGAAAGACTTTCCTTGTCTTCACTTTGAATTTAAGTAGTTCCCTAGAATGAGTTCGACTGCCAAATAAAATGGTTTCAACATTAGGGTTATACATTAAAATGAAAAATTTCTGAAGATGGTAAACAAGCTTGAGTTGTTGCTTCAGTTACTGGATTTAAATGCTGCAACAAACAAAAATTAAATGAACACATTGCTTCAACAGTTTCTACATACACTGAAAGCACACCTGCATTCCCCCAGCTATCTTATCCACAACAGGTGTTGCCGTATCACAATATATAAAGCTAGACAGCTGGACGAGCAGACGGAGTAAAAAGCAATTTTGGAAGTTTTCAGTTTCTCCCAAAACTTATTATCTTTTCAAGGTGTTTCAGCAGTCTTTCTCCATGATTCCTGTGCCATCTGGGCGTCTCAAAGCTGCGGGGTAGAAGAATTGATGAAATGCTTGCAGTGATTGGACTTACTTGAGGATGGACACAGTTGCTCTTTGAGTATTAACTAGGTAAAGAAAGCCAAAAAACAAACAAAAAAAACAACAAAAGCAGAAAAATATCCAAAATAGACTGCAACAACTGCACTTTTGGCATATGCCACTGAGCAAGAGGAGCGAGGCTGTCCACATGGCTGCAGTAACCCAGGTAGAAGCGATGAGAAAAACTGTAAACAAGCCTGAGGTTTTTCTTATTATCAGAATGGGCATGCCATAATTATTCTTTCATGCTCTCTGGTAGATACTGTGTGTGACAGAGGCAGAAAGAGATGTAACTCGATCACTCTCATAAAGTAAATTATAGTTATATCTGAATCTTTTCAGAAGATATGTTTACATATATCCCAGTGGGAAAAAAGCAAAAGAAAAATTGTAGAATATTTCCCAAATTTCCAAATGAATTTTTTAGCACAATCTCCCCCTTACCCTCAGGTTTCTGGAAACAGTAGCACCACTCATTGTTAGAAAGCTTGCCATCCTTGAAGGAGTCACAGGAGTTGAAAAGGGGCTTCATGCACAGCTCATACTTGTCCAAGTAGATGGCACTCAGCTCAGATTGGTCCAGCAGGAGGTCAAAGTTCATGTCCAGTTTGTTGAACATCCAGCCCAGGGAGTCCTTACAAATGGGCAAGATGCTGGTGTCAAAGTCTAGTTTAGAAAAGTGGAGAAGTAAAAAAAGGTTTTAAAATCCCAGAACATGTCTGAGTTAGTTATTTTCATTTTTTTCCAACAGCACACTGTGATTTGAGTGTGTGTGAGTGTTGTCAGTGGAAGAGCTGAGATGCGCTCAGACATGTTGACACCACAGTTACCAAGGCAGGGTCACTGTCAACATCAACGCCAGGCCTCGTGAGGACTGAGAAGTGTGTGTGTTCAGCAAGAATGGGTTACGTACACACACTCATACACAGATATATGGCAGGGGGAGGTACTCACGTCCAGTGGTGGAGTCAGAGCTGTCAGAGGATTTGAGGTCTCTGTTGGCATCAAGGTGGAGAACTCCAAACCAGTCCTTCAGTCTGGCAGCCAGACTGTGGAGCTCGGCATCACTGCAAGCTGCACACAGACCAAAGGCGAAGAACCTGTCAATCTGCTGCTTGTATTTAAAAAAATTATATTTTTGCTGTTCATCAGACTTTCATTTAATCTCTTTTGTTTACTTTAACTATCTTCGAATATTTTTTGGCCATCTTTTCTTTAGACTACGGAAAACTGCATGTCAAACACTGTTATCTCCTAATGGTTACCATCGGAACCAAACCTGACATACACACACACCTATATGTTGTACACATACAGGTGTTTAATTGTCTTCTGTCATTTCTGTCCATTTACCAACTTGCGTCCATTTCCTGTTTAAACGGATGATTTAAACTAAATGGAAAACTCACAGTCAAAACAGTTTAGATAGGCAAAGTCATTTAGCAAACTGAAAAAGTCAAACAAATTAGGTAATCACTGTCTTTATATTCAGGGCTTACGGTGGTGGTTTGTTCCTGGAACTCCATCTCATGTAACTGTTCTGCACTCTGCATGTACGTCTTTAAAATCAACATGCATTATTTGATATGATTGATCATTTTTATCATGATATACGTTTGACAGTTGTATTAATCTCTTGCTTATTTTGTCATATTAGAACATCTTTGTAAGATATGAACCCTGCATGATACTTATGTTTTTTTCAAATATCTGTAGGTGTCATTGTGCTGTGGCTGCTGCTCATACATTTCTGATTTCACTGACACTCTGTTGAGTGTTGCATTCATATAAAATACAATACAATACAATACAATACAATACAATACAATACAACATAATATACTAATATCCATCCGTTTTATTGCAAGAAACATCCAGATCCACACTCTCTCCTAGAGTCTCCTTCGAGTGGACAATTCCCCTAGTGTGTGCTTTTAGATGGAGGTAGCTCAAGTATGAGGAGAGAATCCATGCTGACACAGGGAGAACATGCAAAGCTCACAGAAAGGCTCCCAAGTGGGAATTGAACCAAAAACCCTCATGCTGTGAGACCATGGTGCTAACCACCACACCACTGTGCAGCCCCAGTTTGTTGCATTTTCTGTAGAAAATATCTATGCATTTTTAAGTCCATTTAAACAGTTTCATGAAACCAGGAAAAAGCAGAACTCTTTTATCTCTTTTCCATCACTGTGTCCACACAAATGACTTGCTAAACAATGGATTAATAGATCTTCTAATTTAAAGATATAAACCAGAGGATTGAAAAACTATCAACCATTCAGCCTTGTTGGACTGACAGGGTCTGCCCGCACCCCGGGCAGTCCTTTGCCTCTTCCTGCCTCCCTCTGAGTCTGCCTGTCAATCTTCATCTTTCTTTCTTCATCTTTCCTAGATGTGACTGACATATTTTTCATGATTCTGCTTCTTTTTATGGTTTGATAAATGCGCCTGGAGGGCATGAGTCATTTTCCACCTCGCATTGAGCATGTCAATTCAGACACTCCAACTTTGTCATGCGATGCCATTCTTAAGGATGGGAGATGGAAGTGGGGTTTGTTAAAATTCATGCATTCATCCAAACATTTTATGACAGAACTGATGCATTTGTTGTAAAACATGCCGAGGTTTGCAGTGGTTAAAGATTATGGTCTAAACACAAATAGCCAGACTTTCATCCTGACAATAACATCTCATTCTTGGATGCCCTTTTAAAAATAGAAATGGGAGAAAAGATGCAAACATCCTCGAAATTCTCCTCCTGGCTCAAACAGTTTCAAGCAAGTGCACAGAATAACACACAGGTATTTACTGTAACTGACAGAGCCCACTGGTTGCTGTGTGAAGACATGGATCACATCATGCTGTAAGTGAATCAAGACAGCACGACATGAAACAGGATACATGCACGGCACATACGGGAGCACCTCTCACACATTAAAGCCCGATACACCAGCAAACACACACACCAAAGAGACACTTTAAAAGAAGACATTTCCATGAAATGTTGTCGTCTAACTTAATGCAAGGTTTTCTGTCTGGGTTTTTGCAGAGTCATACTCCCCCCTCCTGTTCTTAAATCAAACTGTGCATCATTCTTGTACGCTATGAACTTCTGGGTAAACACACAATAACGGCCCTCATCAGCTTTAGATATTTAATGGCCATTTACTCTCATTAAATGATTCCACTTTATTTATTGTTACTTGGTATATTCCCCTCCTCCAGGTCCTTACCACTTCTCTCACCTGGCTGTGCCCAATCCAGTTTCTACCCCAGACTTAGAAAGCCACTTTGATAAATCCCACTCCCCTATTTCTCTCACTTTAATTGCTTTGAGTGCTTCATTTCCCATTCCTACTTGCCTACACCCCACAAGACCCAGATATAAGTAATTCAAGTTATATATGGTACACTGCCTCTGCCCTTCTTCCACTTATTCCACTTCTCCCCTCCCCTGACTCTATAACTCCCTCACGTCCTCTATGGTGAAATCTGTTGGACTTTACACTATGAACCACAATACACTATCACACACACGCGCACACACACACACACACACACACACTTTTATCTTTTGTTCTCTGTGTGACTAAAATGGTTGCAGACAATATTGACACCACTTCCTGAGTTAAGGGCCATTTTGGAGGGTGCTGAGTCAAAGAGCCAAGCTGAAAACATTCAGA